TGAAGGTCTTATAAGTAATACTACAATTATAGGTTAACAATAAAGGTCTTGTATGTAATACTATTATAGGTTAACAATGAAGGTCTTATAAGTAATACTACAATTATAGGTTAACAATAAAGGTCTTGTATGTAATACTACAATCATAGGTTAACAATGAAGGTCTTGTATGTAATACTACAAATATAGGTTAACAATAAAGGTCTTGTAAGTACTACAATTATAGGTTAACAATGAAGGTCTTATAAGTAATACTACAATTATAGGTTAACAATAAAGGTCTTGTATGTAATACTACAATCATAGGTTAACAATAAAGGTCTTGTAGGTACTACAATTATAGGTTAACAATGAAGGTCTTGTATGTAATACTACAATCATAGGTTAACAATGAAGGTCTTATAAGTAATACTACAATTATAGGTTAACAATGAAGGTCTTGTATGTACTACAATTATAGGTTAACAATTAAGGTCTTGTAAGTAATACTACAATTATAGGTTAACAATGAGGGTCTTGTATGTAATACTACAATCATAGGTTAACAATCAAGGTCTTATAAGTAATACTACAATTATAGGTTAACAATAAAGGTCTTGTATGTAATACTACAATCATAGGTTAACAATAAAGGTCTTGTAGGTACTACAATTATAGGTTAACAATGAAGGTCTTGTATGTAATACTACAATCATAGGTTAACAATGAAGGTCTTATAAGTAATACTACAATTATAGGTTAACAATGAAGGTCTTGTATGTACTACAATTATAGGTTAACAATTAAGGTCTTGTAAGTAATACTACAATTATAGGTTAACAATGAGGGTCTTGTATGTAATACTACAATCATAGGTTAACAATCAAGGTCTTATAAGTAATACTACAATTATAGGTTAACAATAAAGGTCTTGTATGTAATACTACAATCATAGGTTAACAATAAAGGTCTTGTAGGTACTACAATTATAGGTTAACAATGAAGGTCTTGTATGTAATACTACAATCATAGGTTAACAATGAAGGTCTTATAAGTAATACTACAATTATAGGTTAACAATGAAGGTCTTGTATGTACTACAATTATAGGTTAACAATGAAGGTCTTGTAAGTAATACTACAATTATAGGTTAACAATGAGGGTCTTGTATGTAATACTACAATCATAGGTTAACAATGAAGGTCTTATAAGTAATACTACAATTATAGGTTAACAATAAAGGTCTTGTAAGTAATACTACAATTATAGGTTAACAATGAGGGTCTTGTATGTAATACTACAATTATAGGTTAACAATGAAAATGAAGTAAAATGAAATATATAAAATTCAAAGCACCTTCAAGGCTACTGAAGTCGGGCAACACCATGCAGTGTGCAATGAGGGAAATTTTGTCAGGAAAGCAAACTTAACTGACTCTTTTTTGAGTCTAGAGATCTTTAACATGCACAGCCCCAGGGGGCCTCGGTTTATTGGCTACTAGAACTTGTTCCATGTCAGTCCCTGCAACCCGCATCACTGACAAACTGGAAAGCAGGCTAAAAAATCTGAAGGTATTTTGCCAGGATGGAGCTCTATACCTTCAGGATAGTGAGCAAGCGTATAATAACTCACTGAGACACAGTGAACAGTGAAGGTCTTGTATACAATTCTATAAAACTATTTTTATTGCTATATGAAACATAGAGCTGCTATTTAAAACCTGAATATCATGTACAATTTTCTTATTTAATATTATAAATGACTCATTATAAAACAATGAAACTTTTCTCATTTGGTTTCTCATAAAATCCTGTCAATATTTATGTCCTGCAATATTTATACTTTGTGTCCTTCTTCTTTTGAAAAGAAAACACAAAAAAATAAAATAAAATATAAAAATAACTCGATGACGGATGAAAATTAAAGTACCCTGAGGCTCGTCTGAATATTTCATTCTGGCTTTGATCATTCAGTCTGTTTTCCACTTCTTAATTAAATCAAATAGTACCAGACAGAAAATTAACATATACAAAAAAGCAAAAGTTTTTATCAAAGTACAAAAGAACAAAAATTCAGAAACTTTGTATGCTCATGAAAATAAGTTTTTTTTACATCAAAAAACACATAAAAGTAAATTTTGAGATGAAAAAAAGACATGAAAATAAGTTTTGACATAAAAAAAACACATAAAAGTAAATTTTGAGATGAAAAAAACACATGAAAATAAAATTTTAGACAAAAAAACACATGAAAGTAAATTTTAAGATAAAATAATATTTGTGGAGAAGTATGCACAATTTTTATAATTGAAAATGTTATAAATTATTCATGAAAATATTTCGAAAGTATGCTATATACTTCTATGTATACACTGAACATCAAAATGGGTGATAAAAAACAGAGGGTATTCATCTTTAATTAAGCTGTTTGATCTTGTTTTTGAGTAGGAGAAATATTTTTTTATAGTTTGGCATTCATATTTGCTAACACTGGTGTTTTAGTTTTCAACACCAACCGAAAAACATAGTGATGTTTAATTTCTTATGTAAACTATATTTGGCTTCAAAAATAAAGACAAAATAAATTAAAGGTCACATTCTAGATTATGGTGTAGATTTTGGTGTATAGTTTTTTCATGAATTTGTGCACAAGATACGCCCACTTTCCTCATACATTTTCAGTATATCAAGGGCAGTCACCTATCTGTGTCAAATCATACCAAAAATCTAAAAGACACATTATTTTACAAAATTCTGACATAAACTGTCACCTCTATCACCAACAAATTTTGATCAGTTTTTACTAAGTCCAAGGAAATGACTAAAATTTCGTTGATCAATCTTGACTAAGATCTCATCATTATAAATGATCATATCAAATTTCATTTAAATCGGATGAAAATTGTACTCTTTATTGTGTTCACAAGCCAATTTTGACGCGTTTTTCATAAATCAAGGGCAATAACTCAAAAACCGTTCATCGAAAAATCGTGAATATCCAACTTGTCGAAAATCTCAACAATATAAATGATCACACCAAATTTCATTCAAATCATATGAAAACTGTAGTCTCTATCGCTTTCACAAGCCAATTTTGACACGTTTTGGCTAAATCAAGGGCAATAACTCAAAAACCGTTCATTGAAAAATAGTGAATATCTAACAAGTCCAAGATCGACAAATTTCATTCAAATCAGATCAAAACTGTA